AAAGACAGCAACAACAAGAATCCGCATCCAGGAGTCACATTTCAGCCACGCACCCAGGGACAGTGAATGACTCTTCGGCCCCTTCCCTTCTGATATGTCTATTTGTATATACAGATGGCAATGCACTTGCTTCAGGAACCCTGCCGCCTTCAGAGGCGAGCGGGGGCCATCATCCGTAGGGGCTGCGTGGTCGACCCGTAGGCCGACCCGTCCCCAAACTCACCCCCGGGGCGGCGGAGAGGACCCACTGATGACAAGAACCCGCTACGCGTTCGAGCAACACTGCACAACGTGAGCACAACTTCTCGGCGAGGTCCGCGCGCATGCAGGGCGCGCCTGCCTTTGGCCCTGTGCGGGGCGTGACCCCCTCGAGTCGTGACAGACGTCGCGACGGGAAGTTTCGGCCACTGTCGGCCCCCAGGGGCTTTCGACGGGCCCGGGAATGGAACGACTAGGCCTAAGATGCGTGAAGCTGAGGCATCAGGGGGACTGCAAAAAAGGATTGCAAAAAAACGAAGGATTGCAAACAAAAAAATCCAAGGTTTGCAAAAAAAAGGATTGCAAAACACCTTCGATGGATTGCAAAAAAAAAAAAAATCAAAACAAAGTTTGTTTTGCAATCCTTGTTTTTTGCAATGTTTTGTTTGCAATCCTTCGTAACGGTGCAAACATCACCACTCGGAGCTCCGCGCTGATCTCTTGGATCGGCGCTGGGCCCCCCGTGGCGGCGCATCCAATCCAGCGCTGCCCCTGGCGCGCTCCGCGTGCCAGGGAGGGGGGTCCAGCGCCGGTCCAAGAGCATTCGCGCGGACCTCCGATATGTGTATGCAGTTGTTTGGTTCTTGTCGAGGACAATTGTCACCTCCCCGAGGTGGCGGAGGGCTTGGGAAGAAGGACGCGTAGGCGACCAGGTCGGGCCGTTCCCTGGCCCCGCGTCGGGCTCATCCGCTGCTGCGACCCCCCCGACAAAAGGAGGGGAAAACTCCTCAGGGCGGGGGTCCGGCAGAGAAGCTCCGACTCCTTCGCCTCTGGCCTTTTCCATCCCCAGGGTGACGCACGTGCAGGCTTTGATGGGTGTACTCCAGATTTCGTAATAAAGGGAGGGGGTTCTCATTTCAGGGGGGGTCTCTCTTCCAGGCTATCTCGGAGGGCCTGGGGTGGTCTGGGGACGATGTTTTGGAGGGTTCTCCCACGGGGGGGGGGTCTGAAATGGTTTGTCTTGGAGGGTCCAGACCCCCATCCCTTTTATTACGAAATCTGGAGTAGACAGTATCTACTGAGCGTCTGCCCATCCCGCCAACGTGCCTGGGTTGTGGGTCCGAGTCATCGGGAGTGTTTTGGGGTTCTCTTCGGAGCGCTCTGGGCGGCCTCTTGGGGGGTAGTTCCGGGGCACCCGGGGGGCCCGAGGGGGCCTCCAGACGGCCTCCTGGGAGCGTCCTGGGAGGCTTCCTCGGGGCCTCTCGGGGGCTTCTTGGAGCCTCCTGTGTTTTCTTTGTCTTGGGCCCTCCCGGGGGCCTCTCGGGGCCGTTCGGGTCCCCAGTCTGGGCCCCCCGTTGGAGCCGTCTTGGGGACCTCGTGGATTGTCTTTTGGCGATGTTGGGGGCCTCTTGGGCGGTCTTGGAGCATCAGGAACGAAAAGGCGAGAACACTAAATTCATTCAAAGACCTTTCAATCAGTAATGTTTTCCTCTTCTGGGGCCTTTCTTCGCAGTGCTCGTCAAGGCCTTTCCGGCGTATTGGAGGCCTCTTGGCCCTCTCAAAGCCTTCGTTGGCGTCTTGGAGCGATCTTTCGACGATTCTGGGCTCTCCTGGACTGTCTGGGCGGCCTCCAGAGGCTTTCTTGGCCTGTGCTGGGGCCCTGCTGAGCGAGAGGACCGCCCTGGAGACCTACGCGAGAAACCCTGGCAGCGCCCAGTACCGCCCCAGAGAGCCTGAGAGACTGGAGGTTGGACTCTGGAGAAACTCACAGGCCCTCTATCTCTCTCAGGGCTGCACGAGCCTTGGGGGACGCCGCTTCGTGCCAGGGGCACGGTGACAGGTCTGGCGTTGTAAAGTGAGATGCAATGCCTACGGTTTGTGTGTGCGTGTGCGCGTGTGTGTACGTGTGTGGTGCCTGCGTGCGTGCGTGCGTGCGTGCGTGCGTGCGTGCGTGCGTGCGTGCGTGCGTGCGTGCGTGCGTGCGTGCGTGCGTGCGTGTGTGTGTGTGTGTGTGTGTGTGTGTGCGTGTGTGTGTGTGTGTGTGTGTGTGTGTGTGTGTGTGTGAGTTTGTGTGTTTGTGTGTGTGTTTGTGTGTTTGTGTGTGTGTGTTTGTGTGTGTGTGGGGGGGTAGTGCGTGCGTGCGTGCGTGTGTGTGTGTGTGTGATTGTGTGTGAGAGCGTGTGTGCGTAGCTTCCTTCCCCTGTGGGCGTTTTTTGAAGCACATACCTGGGTGCGACGGCGAAGTGAACAGGTTTGTTTCGAAGGACAGGGCAGGCAGCGCCTCACCGCTCCTCTCCCCTACTTCCGCCACCCCTTGGGTCCCCGTTCTCTCTTGCCCCCTCTTGTCGCGTCACCCCGCTCTCCCTCGCCCATGGCCCCCACCGTCCCTGAGCTGGGCTCGTTTGATCGAATAACGTCCTCCCCACCATGGTTCGAAGGATGGACAATGGCATAAACATGAACTTTTGGCGGTCAGCGCGGGTGTCTTGGATCTGCGCTGGATCCCCTTGGCCGCACCTCCGGCCACACCCCTGGCGCGCTCAGCGCGCCAGGGAGGGGGGTTTGCGCAGATCCAAGAAATTCGCGCGGACCGTCGAAAGTTTCTGTTTATGCCATTATTTCTTTCTTTCATGGTGCTCACCAAGTCTCTTCTTAAGTCGGGCATGTCCCTCTACGAGAGTAAATATTCAAAAGTCCAAACATCGTCGGTGGACGGTTTTTCAACTATGTTTGATTATTGTTGCTTATGTGTGGCCTATGTTTCGCTTTTCCTCCAACATCCGCCTGTAGTCGGCGTCACCCTAACATACTTGTACGAAACTTGAAGTGTATGCGTCGTGGCGAGCGCTTTCTGGCCACACCGTTCGGGAAGCGATCTACTACGAGACGGGTCTACTCTTTCCTGCTCGGGTCGGACGCGCGCCTCCCAGGAGAACGTATCGTACCAGTCTGTCTCTGCCGTCCCACGTGGGAGGACATGCCCGGCCAACGTCCCTCCGCGCCCCCCCGCCGGCGCAGGAGGGCTCCGGCGCCGTGGGCGCCCGGCTGAGTGCGCCGCCC